ATCATCATCATCATCATCACCATCATCATCATTATTAGTTGATCAGCCAATGATTGTTTCAGGGACTACTTCTGCTGCTGCCACTAAAGTTATTGTTGTTGCTGTTGTTGTTATTGTTATTAATATTATTTGATCATATTATTTGAGGTTGCTTCAAGGTATAAATAATCTTTGAAGTATTTTTTCAGTCATATTTACCTTCATGGCTGCTTTGATGATGATAAACTCTTCCTTGTCATCCATTCCTTCACAGCTGATACATCCCCCTTGGGTGAGGTAGTTGTAGTGAGAGGCTTCGGTTAGGTGAAATTCACGTTTCTCCTCATCTGTCATACCAGCAAGCATTCGATAGAATATATGGTAGTTCCTTTCATCACGCATCTAGTACAAGGATAACAAAAATATATGTTATTTACTGTCCTATAGTCAGTCCGGATAGGGAAAAACTGTGCCCTCGGTCTTGAAAACAGACCTTGGCCGTTACTTGTTTTTGTAATCATTTTGTTTTGCTGTTTAGCGGCAAAGGATAACGGACCGCGAGTGTGGGCAGATACTGACAAAATACTGCCTGCTCAAACAGCCAATCAGAACACACCATTTTTTAGGATACCGGACCTGAAAAAAGATTTTGTCTTGCTTGAATTTCTTTGAAATATGCTTCCTTCTATCTGTCCTAGCTCCCGCCTTCAATTCCCACCCTACCACCCTGCCACCCTGCCACCCTGCCATCCTGCCACCCAGCCATCCTGGTAATTCTATCTTTCAGCATGATTATATTATACATAGCACATGAATACACACATATATCATCCCTAACCATAAAATCTTAACACATACCTGATTCACAATTCTTGATTTCTCAAGCAGATACTGTTCAATCCTTGCTCCTTCGATGGCTCCTGACCTCTCAAAATGAACATCAATGTACTTGCCAAATCTACTGGAGTTGTCATTTCTGATTGTTTTGGCATTTCCAAATGCTGTAGATCAATAGAAAACTTCAATAAAAAAGCTTGAGAGATGAAGAGCATGAGAGACATATGCAAGGTTACATACACCTTTTTGCCTCAGGCATAATTTTTGCACATGTCATTGCATTCCCTAGAGTATCATTTCTTTGTATAACAGTTGCACATGAGAAGGCAAATCAAAATATGAACACAGGTAAAACAAAGAAGCTTATTCTCTAATAAATGGCATGTGGTATAAATGTTATTTGATCTCATACTTCCTTCTTTCATCCTCATTTCAATCCCTTCCTTTCCCTCAGCTTCCTTCTTTCATCCTTACTTCAATCCCTTATCTTCCCTTCCATTCTCTCCATCAATTCATCCCTCAGTGTCCTTCTTTCATCCTTACTTCAATCCCTTACCTTCCCTTCCATTCGCTCCATCCATTCATCCCTCAGCGTCCTTCTTCCATCCTTACTTTAATCTCTTACCTTCATCCATTCATCCCTCAGCGTCCTTCTTTTATCCTTACTTCAATCCCTTACCTTCATCCATTCATCCCTCAGCTTCCTTCTCTCATCCTTACTTCAATACCTCTCTTTCATCCATTCTCTTCTCAGCTTCCTTTTTTTAATCCTTACGACCCTTCTTTCCTTCCTTCCATCCACCTATTCATCCTTAGTTTCTTTCTTTGATTCCTTGCTTTCTTACTTCTTTCCATCCATTTAAAATCCATCATTTTTTCTCAACAGAATCAAACATGGGAAATGCTAATCAAAATACAATTCTGAATTCTGATTGGTTGACCTTGTGTTTGTTCTGAAGGTCAGCTCAGCTTGCTGTTTCCCTTCTTTCCTTTCTTTGTTAAAAAATCATACCTACCTTCTAAGATAGGGTTGGCTTCCAGGATTTGTTGTTCAATCCAAGAATGCCTGCCACTAACAGCTGCTAGATATTGGAGAATTAGCTTGGTAGACTCTGTTTTGCCTGCTCCACTTTCTCCACTGGATAACAGAATAAGAGAAGAGTTAAAATAAACAAACAATACAAGGACAGAGAGAAAATGGAGAACATAAGTAAGTAAGTAACATAAGTAAATGAGAACATAAAGTCAAAAAAATAATAATGTAATTAATTAATTCAACTAATTATTTAATTAAACTAAACTAAATTAAATTAATTAAATTATTTAATTAATTAATAAAATTAATTAAATAAAGTAATTTAATTAATTAATTAATTAATTGAATTAATTGAATAAAGTAATTGAATTAACTAAATAAAATAAAATTATTTATTAAATTATTATTTATCATTATTAAAGGTTTTACGTTTTTATGTTAAAACATATGATCAAAAAATGATAGGTAAGATTGAATGAATGATTAAATAAATGGATGGATAAATAGATGGATGGATGATCAGATGGATGAATGGTTGCATGCATGAATGGATGATTGGGGAATGGATGGGTGGACAAAAGAATGAGTTCGAATGAATAGATGATAGATTGAATGGAGGAATGAATGAACAAACGATTTAATGACGAAAAGGAAAAACAAATGAGTGAAGGAATGGATGAAATGACAAATGAACTTATTAGCAAATGAACACGCAAATAAAAAAGTGGATGGATGGAAGAAATGAATAATTGAATGAGTGAATTCATGGATAGATGGATGGATGGAGGGATAAGTGAACAATCAAACAAAGGAACAAATGAATGAATGGTAGAATGGATAAATGGATAAATGAATAGTTGGATAAACAAATGAGTGAATGGGATGAATAGGTAATTAAATGGTAGGACGAAAGACAAAATGAAAGGGGAAAGGTAAAGGAAAGGAAAAGGAATAGTTGGATAAATTGAATGAGTGAATGGGATGAATAAGTAACTGAATGGTAGGACAAAAGACAAAATGAAGGGGAAAAGGTAGCATCAATGGAAGCATGAATAACTTTAGACCTAAAATGAAAGAATGGCAAAAGTAAGGTGCTGCACTCATGTTTCCACTTTAGTTTTGAACATTTTAAGATGTCATCTAGATGATCAATAAGAGGACAGACAATAAAAATCTGTGAGCAACTTGTTAAACACCTTATAATGACACACTGGTCCTGTTGTTCTCTCTTCATGAAGTTATAAGCATTGTCGGCAATGGCAAAGATGTGCGGAGGCAACTCTCCTAGTTTTCTGTCCTTGTATTTCTTGATATGCTCGGCATCATATATTGGGTATAGTTGATAGGGGTTGACAGCCACAAGAATAGATCCAGTGTAAGTCTAATGAAAGAAAAATAAAAATATATTTAAGTAAATAAGGTACATGTAAGGGTGGAGAGGGGGGGATTAATTTATTTACTGATACTCCTATACTCCAGTGATAACTCTTTTGCTTAGCATCTAAGCCTCAATTGTAATTTATTGTTATTAAGCCATTCAATCAAAACCCATGGAATCTTAATTAACTTGTATTGTTCCATAATATGTACAATTCTTTTACCCAGACCCTTTTCACCAAAAAAATTGAAGGCTCTCAGGTAACACACAAACCGGAACACCCAGATTTTAGGTTATCTGATATGCTCATGCTCCACTTATTCTGACTTCCAATATTAATTCAAACCCTTTTTTTCTTCAAAAGAAAAACAAACAAGCTCATTTATACATTGTTTATGGAACAGTTTATTTGTCTGTGATTAACATTCTAAAAAAAAATAAGCAATTTAGCGAGACCCTAGATGCGTACAGTAAAGTACTCGAATTTCGACCGTTGTCGACTGTAAATCAGCGAAACAAATCAAAAACAGATGATTATGCAAAAAATTTAAACCGGTCAAACTAACAGCCGATTTGTGTGTTACCAGAGCCTTCAATTTTTCGTAAGAAAGCTGAGAAGGCTATGGGTATGTAGTACATACATTCCTTACTATACAATGGGCCTTAATAAAAGAAATTAAAAAGCATATTTGTACACAATCGAGGCTAAGACTGAGCAAAGGTGAACTCATAATATAGGATCATTGGAGTTCTCTTGATGAATAATTAGTTAATTAATGATTTAAGATTTTATATAGCACTCTTTCTATATGGATATAATCAAAGTCTCTTTACATTGAGTTGTGAATGTCAGAAAGGATTGTCCTTTTCCGATAATATGACACCCTAAACCTAAAGGAAGACATCAAATAGAATTCCGGGTAAGAGAATCCATAACATCATACATGTATTACTGTATATTGCATACTCACATAAATTTGGTGGCGATAATATCTGGCATACAAATTGTGCAGCATCCCTGCTTCATTCAGATCACCAAGCTGGATCTGATTTATTTTTAAATCAAAAGAAAGAAAGAATTTAATTTTTATTCTAATTCTAGCAACAAATAAATTCTGCAGACATCAGGCAAGGTCTAAAGGTAATTTGCAGGACATAATCACATGACTGTACGTTTACTGGATGACAAAAAAATTCAGACTTATCTTTATTTAATAAATAACTTTTGCTGGATTACTAATGTCATATATACGTGTGGCATGGGTGGTATAGTGGTTTACCGCTCGCCTCTCACCACTGTGGTCTGTGTTCGAGTCCTGGCTCAGACTGGATCATATGTGAGTTGAGTTTGTTTGATGTGTTGTTCTCTCGGACCTTGCTGTGAGGGTTTTCTCCAGGATCTCGGGTTTCCTCCCTCCATAAAGAGTTGAGTGTTGTATGTTGTAAATATAGAATGTAGTGGTAGTGCGTGGGGAGGGAACCTCATGGAAGAGCCCCGTTTGGGGAGTGGTGGTTGTAAAATATAAGTTTTTAAAAAAAAAAACTTTTTAAAAAAAATTTCTTTCCCTTATAAGATACTTTCAATTCCAAGATACGAAGCACTTTAAAATTTGTTTGTCATCCAGCAGAGTCTTCCCCACGAGACCTTTGGCTGAATTGATTCGTTAGCAAAGAGATAAATCAGCTACATGGGACTGTTTGTTGCAAATGACCTATTAAAAAAGGTACAGGTTCATTTAATACAGGTACCACTGTACTTACCATGTCGTCAACTCCTCCTATACTTGAGGGATGCATGACTTTGAGTTTCTTGGACATGGATGCTTTAATCCAATGTTCCTGAAAAAAATAAGATGAGGTCAACATATTACACTTCAAGCAAAGCATCTGATAGACTGAGAGGGTGCAATTCTGCACAATTGAACTAAAATCCCACCAAATTGCACTATTCATTGTTTGTCACACTATTCGTCATTTCCCACAAGATTTGTCACTTTCTGCAAAATGTTCAAAAAATACATCGAATAATAATTATTAATCACTGAACCAAATCCAAGAAATATTTCTTCTTAACTAAAATGAACTCCCAATTTTTTTTATTTCTAGGTGGATTTTATTGCTTTTACGACAAATCTGAGGCCCTAAAACATGTTGCTTTACATACATTCTTGATTGTTGGACAATTTTTTCATTTTTTCATTTTTCAATTTTCTTTTCTTTTTCCACTCTATCAGAGGCTCTAGATCTCTTCATGTTTAAACAAGGTTGTCAATGATTGTGCTAGATAGGTATACATTAGTAGGTTTGGCAGCAAAGAGTGGTTTATGAAATAAATTATTGTAACTTAGTGTACTTACTCTGCCTTCATCATCAACGACTTGTACCTGTCCCGTATCGGCCATCTTGACCATACCGCCGATAGGCAGGTCAAACTCACCTCCATTTGTAATGTCAAGCCAAACATGTTCCCCCTAACGATAATTGGAAAAGAATATGCTTCAGCTTAAAACCATGGGAAAACTTGCTTTATTACATATTTAGGTTTGATATCAATGTGACAAATAAAGGTGTGAATAAAAATCACATCAGTGAAGTGAGATGATATCAGTAATGATAAAAGGGTAAATTTTGCACTGTGAAAAGGTGAAAAAATGAAAAAAACTTATTGATGTTATGCGTTTCGGACTCTTCCTTCTTCGGATTAAAAGAGGTGATATGATATCAAATATATAACAAATACACAAATACAGTATGTTGTTTAGCATGTGCGCAAGTAGTACATTCATGTGTGCCATTTGACTTTTATTTTTGAAGATATTTGAGGACAAAATCGAGGATTTTGCTTCCAGAGGAAGTGTGATCACTGGATAGCCCCACCCCTCCCCTCTAAATAGGGTCCAGTAAAATGACAAATGCTTGTTTTAATTTATTTTTATGTCACCAAATTAAACCTGAAAATAAGTCTTTAAGAGTAAATTTCTGTTTGAAAAGATGTGTTAATATAATTATACAATACAATAAAAAATAAGTTATCTAACTTATTACGATATGTTTTATTACAACGTTTTTCAATTTATCAACAACTTGAATGCTGAGCAATTGAATGAAAAAAACTGTTGGAAAACAAACACCTTAATTACTAAAAAAAACATTAGCAAATGTATTAAAAAAACCAGTTTTAATTTCCTGCAGCCCAATTTTTTTTTCTTTTCTTTTCTTTCCCTTTTTTTTTTTTTTAATTTTTTTCCAAGAATGCAATTTCATAAAGAATACCAATTTAAAAGGAAAAAAATGCATGAAGCTGTGCAATCATCCAATAGCTTATTTTTTTATTTTTTTCAATTACGAGGAAATAATTTTCAAAGTTATTTACATTTCTATATTAGACAACAGAAAAAGTCAAAATTCATGAACAAAGGATAAAAAATTATTGAACTGTCCTAAAAGTATTGAAGGGATTTGGTTAATCTTGTAAATCTTTGTTACAATAATTTATTATCAACGCCCAGATGGAAATTTTGCTTGGATCAAAATTACATTTTCTCCCTCTTTTTAGCTATGAACTTAAAGGAATAAAAATAAAAGATGTTGCTTTAGGCAAGATAGCAAATTATCTATGCATTGAAAAAAAAAAAATTTGACAACGGGGCGCTATTTTATTCGATGCGTTAAATATTCAGAATTTTTATTCTTGACAAGGCATCGAAACGAAAAATCAAGATTTATGAGCACCATTAAAAAGCTTAATTGCATTCTTAGAAAATATCAAAAACGTAGACAAACAAAAAAATAAATAACTATATTTTAAACTATCAAAAATATTCCATACACCTCGTTATATTTTTCTTCATTTTCTATTTTATTATTATTATTTTTTCAATATGCATGAATTCGTCTAGGGTTTGAGTCTGGTAAAATGATTTATTCCTAGAATACGCAAACGTTTTCCTTTTTACTCGAGATTAAGATATACTCTTTTTGATTTTAGAATTACAGATAATTTTGAGATAGGAATCTCTTAAAAAGTGGTTTAAAAAGCTTGAAAGGCCGACCCAACAAACCACGAAAAATATAAACATTAGAATCGCTGCTGTCATACCCAATTATTTCAGCTTATAAACGCCTTACCTTAGATACGATTACCATCTTGAGTATAAAATCTTATAAACCATACATAAATCTAGAGCTAGAGGGGGAAAATATAATAAAATAAATGTTAGAATATAGTTTAGAGTTGAATTTTGTTTAGACTTTGTAGAAATTATAAGAGAGTGCGTTCGAGTGAACTAGAGTAAGTTTGGTTTTAGAGTAAAGCATAAATAAATAATACCTTCCTAGTTGTAATATTAGCTATTTTTTTAAGTTTATGAGGCCTAGGAAGGGTAATTTCGGATGATAACGGAAGAAAATAGAGTAGGAATAAAATAAAATATTAGAATTTCCTACCGTAAAGTTCTCGAATATGGAAATTCAAAGCCGCGAAACTTCAATGACCGCCTTCATTCAAGCTCGATAAACCGAGTGTTTTCCACTTCAGTTGGTAGAATTTTCTCGCATACTGCTACCGTAAGCCCTCGGCGTTGTCTTGCGGTCAAGATATGGAGGAAAAAATAATTTTTTGGGACCTTTTTTGGGGCCAAATTTCAAATTATCTTCCGAAGCGAAGCCCTCGAAAACTTTGAAAGTAATAACATTCAGACGAGGCTTAGCGATATTAGACTCCCGAGCGGGGGTAGAGCGGGGGTAGAGAGGGGCTTAAATTGTCATCAGTATGTCATCGTTTTATTTAGTTTAAAGCTTTATGAAGGCCAACTTAAACAAAAGTTTGTAAAGAATTCAAACTACAGATTTTCAAGGAATATTTTAGGATCTAAGTAATTGTGTTCAAGTTAGAGACAGAATAAAGGCAAAAGCAAGGGCTGGATTGATTTATTCCCGATAATTTGAAAACAATATTGTGCGATAATTGAAAACAATAGAGTTATGAATGAGCTTCTCAGTAAATCAACCATCCGATTCATTTCTATTCATATTAGGGCATAGGGCGCTGGCTTACGCTTGTATTGACGTCATAGTTTGTTTGGAATGGATTGTAGTAATCCCAGTTATCCTAGCAAGGCTTACACGAAATAATGCTAATTTTAATGCTAATTTTCGTTCTCAGGAATACGTTCTCTCTTTCCTTTTCTTTATTTCCTTTTTATCCTACCCCCTTTTCCCCCTTATTTTCATTCATTCCCTCCCTCTCTTTGTTTATTTTATCTTGTTCGCCTTCAGTCAGTTCCTGTAACTGAACGGGGAAAATAAATAAATTCAAACAGTCTTTTTTTTTAAATATAAATATGGTTTATTCTAGAAAAATATAGTCTAGAAGATCAATTTTTAATGACAAAACGTAGAAATATTTCGTTCCCAAAATCATCAAGCAAATTTTAAAAAAAACAGTTACAGATTCCTTGTTGAGCTACGGATGCCATTGAACAAAGTATTATACTTACTGGGGCTAGGGTAGGGATTTTGAGCATGGAATTCAAGTTCTCCTGTTAAATTTAGTATTCAAAAGAAAACAGGATTCGTTATCTTTTTATTCTTTTGGTGAATCCCTTCTCGAAAAATCAGTCACCTTTATTCAATTCAGCATTTTAATTAGTTTTTCGGCTTTTTCAACTCATGATCATTATTATATATGGGTTTGGTCACTAATGGAAACATCAGTTTTTCTAAGTAGTTTTCTTCATTTATTTATGATTCTAAAATTTTGTTCCAAACGAGCTATTGTTTTTTGTCGTTTTGTGATAGAAGTAGGTGTAAGACGAGGAAGGCAGATGTTGTTAGTTGTTGGTGTTGTATTTTTTTTTAACAGCGTATTTAATAGAAGGCACCGTAGTATTTGAGGGGGAAAATGAAAAAGAAAAAACACACACACACACACACACAAAGAAAAGAAAAAAAGTTTTTCCGCCGGCCATCTCTTATTTCCTCTTACTCGAGATAGAGGAAAAATAGACCCACAAAGTTTTTCCGCCCATTCCCCGGACATGCGCAGTCCGTACCTCTACAGACCCCTTGCATATGACGTCAAAGAAGCTCCTTGGAGGGAACAAAACAAAAGAATTCCAAACACCTAAAAAATTGGAACCTATTGTTTTGTCCCTCAGATTGAGCTGCATACCAAAGTGCAGCAAGGGGTCTATTATTCGGCGTGTACCTCTGATCATGAATTGATGATCCAAGCTGACCTCGAATTGACCGCGTTCCCCGAAAGGAATTATGTGGGTCACCTCTTTTTGGTTGGCATTTTCCTAGAAGGTACTAATTACGATGGATTTATCTTTTTGATTGAAATTGAAGTCCTCCAAGAGTTCGACTTCGGCGTTCACGAGCTACCAGTTAAAGAATGAATCGAAGAATTCTTATTCCCATTTAATTGGTTCTCCGGCAGAATCACGAGATAAGCTTTACATGACATACATGAGAGGGTTAACTCAGCTGGTCTGTGTTTCTGTTGTATGAGAGGTATACAAGGACTGGGTAACGCAGTTTAGTAAATTTAGATTTAAAATAAATAAGCATATGCAACGCTAAAAACATACTTTTTTTAGACGTTTCGAGGCTACTTTCTCTTGCTGAGCAAGAGAAGCGCCGGCTCTGAGGACAAGATTCCTGATGTGACGTCATTCCGGACACTATACCCTCAAACAACCCCTCGGATTTGACTCACAAACGTGATACATTACTTCATATTCATATTTCATTATCTTATTTTAATTAATTAATTAATTAATTATTGTTTTGAAATTTAATTATTGGCTGCCTAAGTTGTTTGACACATGAAGCCCAACACTGTTATTTAGTTTTGGTATAGTTAAAAACTTGCATTGTGTGGTGGAGTGTCAGCGCTGTATGTAGAGCTGTTCCTTGATGTCATATGAAATCCACTCGCTAGTAGTGCCAAAGCGGTTTATAGATGTAATTAAAAAGACATAAATAAGAGAGGGAACCTTCTTAATAACGCTCGCGCCATGTAAATTTCCGATTGGGCTATTTTTAGTAACCGGATGCACTTTAAATTTTGCCTCACCCCACTTCGGTGCTCTTTCCTAGTTATGAAGTATATATTTTAAGTTGCAGCATGAGTGGAATTTATTTTCTGAAGTTATTTTCTTTTGCTTACGCAGGCACTTCATTTATTTACTTGCTATTTACGTACGAGTATGCGACAAAAATGTAGTTCGTTCCTCTCTTCCCCTAGTACAATATTTTATTTCCTGTTTGTGACAACAGAGGGTCTCCTTTTCGATAGTCTTCGAGGAGTATGTTACCAAGCTTTTTCATCTCAACGGCTCTTACTGACTTGAGAATGTAAATCGACTTGTCGTACTTTTGGAATGACACGATGGACGATGGATCAGCATGTTTCAAGTTTTTGGGACTGAAAATACAAGTATAGATAAACACTCAATACTCCAGTTTCCAATACTTCATTTTACAGTTCCGTTCAGTGACCTAGAATAATATAGTTCCAAGCCGAGGTTGAAGTTGTCGCGCATGATATAAAGTATAGATTTACTATGCGAGGAAACTCCAGTCTTGACTTGGAACTATTATTCGTGGTCATTGAACGAAACTGTAAAATGAAGTATTCTCTCTGTTTGCAGGTAATTTAATTTCGCATGGAATTGCTAAGAATATTCATGCATTCCAGTGAAGCATGCTGACATGAAGACTGGCTTATGATGAGCTAGTTCCCAGCAATAGACCATTTTCGAGTTCCAAATTACCGCTGTGTTCCTTGGTTAACAGACTCATTTACTCAAGCTTATAGCCCATTTATTACAACAAGGCTTAAACATGTTTTAAAGTGGTTTAACTAAACAGGTTTGTAAAGCTATCTACGAACACTGCACAACATTTGGTGAAATAATGCATGTAAACTATCCTTTGTCTTGCTCTGAAAATATTTTACAAAGTTTCATTATATTGCAGGTTTCTAGTTTCTCAATTTTTTCCTAATGAAAACATAGTTTAACCAAATACGTTTAGGTGTGAATGGGGTGTTAGTCTCGTAAAGGCCGATTTAGACAGTACGATTTTCGCCTACAACTGTCGTATACAACACGCTCGCGTCTGTCGTAGTCCAGTTGTAGGCTTGATTTACACGCACGACTCGAGTTGTAGGATGGCGCAAGAGTGTTGTATACGATAGTTGTAGGCGAAAATCGTACCGTCTAAACCGGCCTTAACAGTGTCTAAGATTCGCAAATAGCAACGGTAAAGTAAAGAATGCACAACTTTAACAATACAAACACGTTGAAATTCAACGGACTTTAACTGGAAAAAAAGAATATTCTACGCAAAAATCGAGGCTAACCCTGAGCCCTGCGCAACAGAGAACTCGAAACTGGAGTATTCAATGGAAACACATGTTCCCTTTCTATGGCGTCATGATCCTTACCTGTCATTTGTGATTACAGCCAAGTGATCAAAGTCGAGGCTCACAAAGAACGACCCTCTCTGTTCACTTACAGAGTGAAGATCAATTCCCTTGCTGTGCATGTAGACTTTGACTTCGCCCTTGGGGATCTTACGGCCTGATATAATAGTGGCATTGAAAATCTTGGAGAAAACATGTACCCACTCTGCCTTGGCTAGTGATACTACTTCCTGTTTGATTGCTTCCGGGTCGCTTCCCACACGCAAGGTAGGAGTCTGGGTAAAGAACGTTAATCTAAGTTTATTCAAGTGGTGTTCTTTAAACGTTGTCTTCACTCAGAACAAAAAGAGCGACTACAATACAACAACTACAAACATAACAAGCGATAGATAAATAACTTAAACCTGAAACACCAATTAGCGCATGCGCAATTAATTAGAGCTCGGTCTATTTTGGCAAATATGCAGGAGGTCGTGCCTCAAGGCTCGGCCGGACCAACAATCAGGGTTTTAGGAATAATTGAGGAGAAGGTTTTGCCTTTTTGATTGCGTAAGAAAATGGTTAGAGCCCTCACCGTGGCTCGAACGACCACGTTAATGGAGGTCCCGTCGACCCTAATTAACCCAGTGTCGGTGCAAGGATTACGAGTTTATCAGTTAATGCGCTGTCGAGTGTTATCAGCAGCAAGAGGAACAACAACAGCAGCAGCAACGATAAAGCGGTTTTCGTATGACTGTTAAAAGTTCATGGCACGAATACGAACACGGTCGTGACACGAAAAGGTAAGCCAGACTAATCACACTGCACGAGAATTCACTCTCCATCCAATCAAAATAATACTTGAAACACATGCGGACTGGGTCACACCAAGGTCGTAGGACTTTCTAAGTACACCAAGCCAATCAAAGTGTGTGACGGACTAATCACACTGCACGAGAATTTACTCTCCATCCAATCAAATACCCGAAACACGGCATAATCACGGCGTGCCGACACGGCCACGCCAATGTCATGGGAATGCCAGAAAAATCACAAAGCACGAGAAAAAGTCAGTCTATCAAATTTCTAGACCTTTTTTACGTCAGTCATACGAAAACTGCTCTAACAGCAGCAGCAACAACAACAACAACAACAGAAGCAACAACGGCAACAACATGAGCAGCAACAATGACAACAGAAGCAACAACGGCAATAACAGCAGCAACGACATCAGCAGCAACAA